GAGTTAAGCTGGAAATATACTCCCTGCGAACTGCCGACGTCGGCACGGGTTGTCGCAGTTTAATGACGAAAATTACGTCACTGGGCTTCGCAGCGTCATGTCGACAGCCTCTTTTGGCACAAGCCCCCGGCAGAACTTTTTGACTCCCCCTCCCTTGTCGACGGTAATGTGTGATTGGTCTGAACTGAAAGCGCTCGAACGGACACAGCAGAAGGAAAAAAACAAAAACTCGCTTTGACTAGAGCAGACTGTTTTGAGCAGTTTTAAAAATAGACAAACCGAGAGAATTTCATGTGTTTGTGCTGACAGCGCTATGCGCTGCATTTACTTCAACCACTCGGTAAATTAAAAAAAGGAAGAAAAAAACGACTCGCTCCCCGAGCCGACCAGGAAGCAGAGTTTTATAAAGATAGTCAAACCGTGAAAAACTCATGAATGGAGATAAACAGGCACGGAGGAATCTAAAACTGTGGAGCTTTTTAACCAGGACAGATGTGGATAAAAATCCGTTGGGTGAGTGACTTTTTTTCTGCATTGCTGTTGAGGGGAGAAATTCCATGCAGTGACGTATGTTTCAGCGGGAGGGAGGGGTTCCCCCGAGCTCGTCTGCGCAGTGTGCAGGAACTATGAAAGGTCTGTGCGAAAACGACTGCCGAACAACCACGTGACCATGCGTCGAACTGCCGACGTCGGCACGGGTTGTCGCAGTTTAATGACGAAAATTACGTCACCGGGCTTCGCAGCGTCATGTCGACAGCCCCTTTTGACACAAGCCCCCAGCAGAACTTTTTGACCCCCCCTCCCTTGTCGACGGTAATGTGTGATTGGTCTGAACTCGTCGGCGCAGTGTGCAGGAACTATGAAAGGTCTGTGCGAAAACGACTGCCGAACAACCACGTGACCACGCGTCGACCTGTCTGTGTCGGAGCGAGTATGTTTCCAACCTTACTCGTCTTATCAAGGAAAATTTGTCATTCATGTCACGTGGTGGAATGAAACTAGTTGCCCAGGAGTGTGCAAAGACTTTTTGTGGTTTTCCTACTGAAACATGGTGTACAACTAATCAAGAACACAGTGTGTGCACAAATAAATTCAAATGTATGAAACTTTGCGTACACATGAATCACTTCCTTCTAACTAGCTAATCAATGTAGAACTGAGCACATGTCAGAAACCTCTCCTGACACGCTTTCTTTTTAATATGTAAATAGATGCAAATATGTCCAGTTTGTGTGATTCTTCTCACAGTGAAATCACTATGGATTTCTAGATTAAAGAAATTGATGCATTAAATTGAACGTGAGTGAGAAACATGCAAAGAAGGGCTGTGTCCAAATCCAGTGGCCAGGTCCTTCGAAGGGCTGCTTACATCACAGCGCCGCAACGGAGGTTGTCCAAATCTGAAGACTCCTCCAGTGTGCCCAACAAATACTGTATTTATTCAAGTATAATACGTAAAATTAAATCCATAAAATCATCCATAAATTTGGGGGGGTGGGGTAGTACTATACTCGGA